AATAGTTCAAATGTTGAAAAAATGATTGTTTTTACATGTTGATGACAATTTTTCAAATATTTTTATATAACATTCTTGCTGTAGTAAGCAGTCTCATAAGAATTTTTGACATATTTAAGATGATCAAAATCTAAGAATGAGTCAGTATTAATTTACCCCCAAATTATTACTTATTGATACAAATAAATAAATAAGAGATGAGACTGAGAACAGCACCATGGACAGTGAGGAGGTTTGTGAAAATATTCTGCCCTGGTAGCAACTAAGCAGATGCCATACTAGATTACCAAAGGAATGTGCTAATCCCTGTACACTTGTTTTGCTTTGTTTTTATGATGAAAACTGGATTTAATACTTGGCTTAACTCTCTGTGTTCCTGATTTCACATAGTTTTTGGCCCCAGTAATTATTTTAGTTTTCAGATTGTACCTTTAAAAATGTTATTTTTTTATAGTTTAGTTTTGGGGATTGTTTTCATTAGGATGGCTGGTCCAGTATATAGTCACTGTAAGGATAAAAATGAAGCAGAACATAATTTTTTCACAATGTTTTTCTGTGAAAGGAAGGATATATGTAGGGGGATATCAGGCGATGAGGAAGGAAGAAACATATGGGTAAGAGACAAAATAATTGAGCAATACACTCGAACTCTTAAAGAGTAAAAAATTTTTTCATCTAGTGGTTTTGTTTATGAACAAAGACTTTTGAGGCTTTTGAAAAAAATTTTCCCTATTATTGGCTTTTTTCATGTTGATTAATCTGAGTTCTCTGTAGATCCTAGTTATCTATTATTTTAGATATGTATTGGAAGAAGATGAAATGACCAACACAGTGGTACAAGAAATATTAATGGTAGCATTTATGATAGGAGAGAAAGGGCATCCAAACTATAGCCTCTGAAATTATTGACTATTGATTTAGAAATTTTTTACGGAAGTTCTGTTACATAGGTCGAAAAGAATATCAGAGGTCAGAATTCACTAAGCACAATGATGTATTATTATAAAGGGCAGGTAAACCATAGAATATTTGTTGAACGTTAGGAAAATACATAAAATTATGAAGAAATTGTAGAACACTTTTTCTGATTTTTATTTATATTTATTTATTTATGCATTTTTATTGTTTGAGGTTCATGGAGGGTACAAAGAATTAGGTTACACTGATTGTATTTGTTAAATAAAGTCCCTCTTATAACTGTGTCCTTCCCCCAAGAGATATATCATACATCATGACCCCCTCTCCCCCATTCCCCTACTCTCCACTCCCCCCCTTATATTAGATCATCTACCACCTTCATATAAGAATTGAGTACATTGGATTCTTGCTTTTCCAAACTTGTAATGCTTTACTAAGAAAAATTTATTCTACCTCCATCCAGGTTAATACAAGAGATGTAAAGTCTCCGTCTTTTTAAAGGCTGAGTAGTATTCCATGGTATACATATACCACAGCTTGTTAATTCATTCCTGGGTTGGTGGGCATTTAGGCTGTTTTCATATCTTGGCAACTGTAAATTGAGTTGTGATAAATAGTCTAGTGCAAATGTCCTTATGATAAAAGAATTTTTTTCTTCTAAGTAGATGCCTAGTAAGGGATTACAGGATCAAATGGTATGTCTAATTTGAGTTATGTAAGGATTTTTCATACTTCCTTCCAAAAAGGTTGTATTAGTTTGCAGTCCCATCAGCAGTGTAAAAGTGTTCCCTTCTCTCCACAGCCATGCCAGCATTGTCACTGGGGTTAGATAATATCTCAGGGTCGTTTTGATTTGCATTGAGGATTTTTTGATATATTTGTTAGCGTCTTGTCTGTCTTCTTTGGAGAAGGTTCTGTTCATCTCTCTTGCCCAGTGTTGTAAGGGTTTGTTCACTCTATTTCTGTTGATAAATTTGAGTTTTATGTAGATCCTAGTTGTCAAGCTTTTGTCCCATTCATAATATGCAAATATCCTTTCCCATTGTGTAGGTTGTCTGTTTATTTATTGTCTCAACTGTACATAAGCTGTTCAGTTTAATTTTTAAAGACAGTTTGGTGGGCAGAATTTAGGCAGTTGGGGTCTGCTAATTGACCAGTTTCAAGGCAGAACCATCAGTTCCTTCATATGGGCCACTATCTAGGTGGAATTCAAAACCTTGGAGGGAGGGTCCAAGACTAGTTGAGTCAGTTCCTTTTTTCTGGGTGTATCTAAGACTGGAATGAGGGACCTGGAATTTTCTCAAAAACCATTTCAGGTTAAAGAAGCAAACAGAAGAAATAGTGATTATTATCAAATAAATAAAAGGGCAATGGCTGAGTATGATCATTATTTTATATAGCCTACTCCTGGCAGAGTTCTGGGAGCCCTTCCTCTAGCTCTCACTCTGCACACTTTCATCAACTTGTGAGGGTGGTTTCATGAATATTATTCATACTGTTTTAGTTCTGCTTTCATTTTATAAAAGATGGCCAAATATTCCCAAAATTATTCAAGTTAAAATATCTTCCCTGTTTTTCTCAAACAAATGAAGAAATTAACTACTTAACTTCTAAATTCAAAAGACAAATGGTCATCTACACCATCAGTAACAGATGGGTTTTCTTATTTAGAATAAATGCTAAGGAGTGTCCTGGAAAGGCATGGCTTTCAGCTGCATAATTTGGAATAGAAACTTTATCAGAAAATGAACTCTGAAGAGTTTCTTTTTCTTTCTTTTTCTCTGTCTTTCTGTCACTCTCTCTGTTAGGCTCACTTCTGAATGTCCAGCAGCTAATAGTATTAATCAAATAAAAGCATTTGATAAATATTTGTCATTCATTCAACATGTTACACATTATCTTTCATTTTCATTACTGAAAAGTGTTCAGATGACATGGCTGAACACACTTGTGCTTAAATTTCTGAGGATGTTTTTCCTTCTTTTTTAGGCAGATGCTAATTGAACAAGAAAATCAAATATAAGGCTAGTTAATGGGGTACAATGAAAATAAATTTAATATGTTAAATGTATTTAATGCCATATGTACATTTGAGCATTGTGGGGAAGAAGGAGCACATGTCTTCAGTATGCTTTGTCTTTCTTTTACTTTTTTCTCCTAAAAAAAGGGCTGCACTGCATATAACTATCAAGTTAAACTTTTTATGCTTTACTTGTAGAAGAATGTTTAAGTTTATAATGTTTTCTTATTTTTTATTTAGGTAAAATGTCATTTATTTCTCTATGCAGTGGAAAATTATTAGATTTGATAAGAGCAATATCTGTCCCCTAGTTTATTCAAGAAAATCACAAACGACATTTGTTTGATTTGTAACCAAAACATTATTAGAAAAACTTATTATAATGAAATGTGATGCTTAAACATAGGGGATAATTTCCATAATGCCATTCACACACTAACATCAATTAATCTATGCCTGGCACTTCACAAATATTTTATAATTTAGTTATTATAAAAACACTGTAAAAGCTTTATTCCAATATTACAAGTGAAAAATTTGATGTTCAGAGTATTTAGATAACTTTTCTAACATAGTACACTTGATGAGGAACACAGCCAATGATTCAATAAAAATCCACCACATTTTAAAGCCTTTACTTCTTTGCAGAAATGCTACATAGAGTTCCTTATAAGGCTTCCTTTCAATTTCATTTGACTCCACAATCACTTATTGAGCTTTTATTCTGTATAACACAGCCTGGGTACTGACTGCTACTTACAAGTTTTAAGGTGCCCTAAATTACCCAATTCAACTTTCCAATACTTTAAAAATCATTGTTATCATATATTTGGTAATAATTTAAAAATAATTCATGCTATATTTCCTATGATTTCTTTCCTTTCATGTATTTCTAAATATCCTATAAAATCATTCCTTACATCCCATTTTAAGTTAATTTCAAGTTTCCTTCCCTTTATTAAGTCTACTTAGTTTGCCTCTTTTCTTTGCTTGGGCACCAATCAAGAGGTGCTTTGATGAATATCAGGTCATTTACTTAGAACCGGTGAATTTGGGGACCAGAAGGAGCACCAGAAATTAGATATCCTGAGTCCTTATGTTTACAAAAAAATGTGGAGGGTAAGGGTCCTTAGGGGTTATGTAAATTTTTAAGAATTAGCCATCCAGTTCGTGAGCCCAGGCATTGGGCTCTCCAGTCAAGTCTCCATTTATGAATTTCCTCATTCTTTCAGCCAACACACTTGCTGCCTGTGCATTTTTACTTGGCTTCTTTTAGTGTTCCAATTAGTTTTGTTTTCTATATTTGTTCATGTTATTTTCTCCACAAAGTGCAAGCTGTCTGAAGTCAGGGATTAACTTTATTAAGAAGTCCTGGTTTGATTTTGAAGTGTCTCATTGAATAAATCATAATGTCATCAAGAGATTAGATGCTTTTGAAAAGTATTACAAATGAAAAAGCTATGTAATGTGTATTTGTGATTCTACACCAATGCTACTAAAATCAGCACATGATTTTCTGGTGAAATCAGAAGACTTGCATCAAGTCTTAACTCTTTGTATGAAACAAATTCTATGAAAAGAGACTTTCACAGAATAAGGATAGAAATTAGCCAAGAAAAAATTTAAAAGCACTTTTTGAAGTGCATGATGCTTTGTTTTCACATCTACAGGAGTATAAACATTTAGATCAGGGACACAATACCTTAATTAATGCTTTCTTTCCCAATATCATTCTAAAGTAAGAAAATGTGTTTATTTCTTATTTAACAATAGGAAGGGTAATCGATAGTAAGAACTTTTATTGGTTACATGAACTTTTCTCTATGAAGAAATTAAAAATGTTTATTACTACGGACAAACTAAAGTTATTGTATTTTACATTCCAATGAAAATTATAACAGTCCCCCAGGTCAAATTTATGATATCTTTAAATACAAATATTTACAGAACATATAACACATATTTAAAATTAAATATTTCCCTAAAACAGAGACATATATATGTATTAGTATGATTTTATTTGAATAATAAAGTATTAGATAAGATTGTAGTAAGTCTATATCAATGGGAGAACATTTTCTGAATGTGAAGGTGTTGTGGAAGATGCCCAAATCACCAGGGCATCTTGCTTCCTCACCTCCTCTCATTTCTAATTACTGCATCAACTCTAAAAGTCTAAGCTGGATACCCAATTACTCCTGGGAAAAACCTCCTCTGGTCATCATCATTCAAACTAATGATTGTCTAGTATTTTATCAGCAAGTTTCTTAGCAGGTACCAAGTTGGGATGTATTCAGTCCTAAAATGTAGCTATCTGTATAATCTAGTCATGTTTTTGTGGCCAGAAGTGCTCCTTAGAACTGGGTAAATTCAGGCAGACTCAGGAATGAGTCCACATGGGGATCTCTTTTTCACTCACTAACCTAGGTTATGTTTAACCTGGAAGTTCTGGAGGGATGAACAGGTCATCACCAAAGTTTCTGTTGCTGGCTTATAGCTAGACATGATCTGTTGCTATTCTTGAGCCAGGATTAGTAACCCAAGAACACATGTTAAGCTTTCCGCATTGTAAGAACTGGATCACTCCTAAACTCTCTATACTGGAGAAGGTTCTCTGTCATTGTTATGGAAAATGATGTCTGAACATATTTGAGTATTAATGTGTTTACATTAGAAAAATATGAAATAAATATTTGATTAAATTGACAATTTTGCAAAATTTTAACCTTTATATAACTCTGCGATCTTACAAAACATTTCTATTACTTCTCTATGCCTAATTAAGGAATAGGTTTCCCTGACTGTAAATGGAATGATGTCAAAAGAAAGGTTTTACAGGATATAATGGCAGATACAGTATGCATTTTGTTAGCGATAAATTTTGATTTACACTTTCAAAATTCTTCTGGAACAGATGTAGTACATTTTAAAAGTTGTAGCTAATCCTTATCATATATATGCTATATATTAGAAGCAGATGTACAAGTTTGCCATCAAAATGAGAAAAATCAATTTTCTTTATAACCAAATGGCAACATCTGAATTTACATCTTGGAATTCATTGCAAGTAAATGAGCGTGATCGTCTCCTAAGATTTGTTGGTCTCTGAGGTCTTCCTTCTATCAAATCTAAGTAGATGTCAGATTTCAGGAATCGTGTGTAACTGTCTTGTTCCATGAGCTGATACACTCTGCTTTGTGCAGCATCAAAACTGTGGAGAGTGGGTTGGGTGATGCTCTTAGCAATGATTTCTTTGGTGTGAAAATCAAGGTTAACCTGGATAAACAGAAAAAATACTGTAATTATTGCCAGTGCAGGACTGATACACGTTGGTGGGGTACTGGATGCTTGAGTGTATTTCCTCTTCTGGGTCTAGGGATCCTATGATCTGTTCTGGATCAGCATTTCATCTGGCTTTTTCTTCTCTCCCTATGTTCCTAGTGCTTCTTACTCTGCTAATTTAGAATAATGGAATATTACAGTGGTCATATTAATCATTAGGGTAATTCACTCATTTTCAAAATGGGGAACTAAACTTTACAGATGTTAAGTTATTTGAGTTATGGGGAACAGGGAGCTTGGGGCATATGTAGGATTTCAGACTGGGGCTTCTACTTATCACCATGCTTATTTCATTATCTTATGCTGCTTTTCTCTACGCAACCATGTGCTAAAGTAGGAATGTGTTTTGCAGATATAAAACTCTATAATGCTTTGTATTATATCACTTCCAAAATGACTAGTTTGGGTGAGGGATGATTTTCACCTAAGGGCCTTATCTTTGCCCTTATGGAAACACCAGATAACTTGCTTCCTTTTTTTTTTTTTTTTTCTTAATCCTACATGTAAGGTTGGCAATGGGGAAGACAGAATAATACATTGGGAAAAAAACAGATTGAACTATATTAAAACAAGAAAAAAGCATCTTTTTTTTTGTGAAAAGGCATCCACATAGACAATTCTACCCCACAGACAGTACTACGGTATGGTCAAATAAAACTCTGAATAGTGACAGACTGCCACTTCTGCTATCTCAGGGAAGAAGCACTATTTTTAGGTAGCATAATAGGAACATAGGCACTCTGTTTGACTCATATATGAAGGTAGTAAAGTAATATTTGCTAATGTTGTAACCATTTCAGCAATTGTATCACACAGTTCATTCACATTGAGTTTGGAGTCAAGGAAAACCAATTTCTTTTTCTCTTTTTGCCCAAGTAGGTTTACTTCATCTCTTCATTATTAGATTTTCTTTTAATTTATATTAAATTAGATGAATGCCCTTTTATGCAAGCAAAACTTTGTATAGGTAGATGAACTAAAATATAAATGATACACAGTACAACTTTCTTGTTATCTATTGCTTTTTATCATAGATAGAAATCTTTAGTCCGTATGTGAGGTTGCTTGGGTTAAGGGTGATTAAAATAGAAAACTGAATGAATTTATACTCTACAATTCATTGTATTCACTCTTAATCAAGGATGAAAATAGCTCTGAAGTGTGACTTCAGTTAAACCTTTCCTTTCATGCTAACATGTTACAATGCATTATTTACATACGTGTACAAATCTATATAACCATTTTTGTATCAGCTAAATCCCAAACTTTCAGGTTGAATGTGCAGACGTATTACTCTGATGTAGGTAGATTTTCTAACAATGTAGACCTGTATAGGTATTTCTCAAGAGAAGACATATTCATGGCAAAATAGTATTTTGACAAAATGCTCCACATCAGTAACCATCAGGAAAATGCAGATCAATCCCACAGTGAGATATCCTCCAGTCAGAATGGCTATTAACAAGAAGACAAAAACAACAAATGCTGGCAAGAATGTGGAAAAAGCAGAGCTCTTATACACTGTTGGTGGGAATGTAAATTAGTACAGCCATTATGGAAAATAGTATGGAGGCTCCCGAAATAACTAAAAATAGAACCACCATCTCATGTTAATAATTCTACTACTGAGTATAAAGCTAAACAATCTCTCAAAGAGATATGTACACGTATCCAATGTTTATTGCAGCACTATTCAAAAATAGCCAAGAGATTGAATCAACCTCAATATTCCTTCAAGGATGAATAGATTTAAAAAAATGTGGTATGTATGTATACACAATGTAATACTATCTAGCTATTAAAAAAAAACCAATGTTATCATTTGCAATAACATGGATAAACCTGGAGGACATTATGTTAAATGAAATAAGCCATGCATGAAAAAAATGAATACTGTGTGAAATCCATCATAGATGAATTCTAAAAAGGTTGATCTTATAGAAGCAGAGAGTAGAATAGTGGTTATCAGAAGCTGGGAGGGTGAAGAGGGTTGGGTGGGTGGATGGACAAATGGAGGAAAATTTGGTCAATGGATACAAAATTATATTTAGATAGGAAGAATAAGATTTGGTGTTATATAGCATGGTTGAGTGAATACAGCTAATAATAATCTATTACATATTTTAAGATAGCTAGAAAAGTGGATATTGAATTTTATCACTGCAAAGCAATGATAGCTTCTTGAGTGATAAAAATATAAACTACTCTGATTTGATTATTGTGCAGTGTACCCCATAAAAATAGACAGTCTACCCCAGAAACATGCATGATTATTTTGTCAATTACAAACACAATTTGCAAAATAAGCTTGAAAAAAAATTCACATACCTAAAAATAAAAATCCTATCTTAAAAACATTTCGAGCATTTATACATTCTCACAATCATCTTTACTGTACCTCCTGTGGAGCGTCATTCTCTATAAATTTTTCGTATATTGCTTTTGCTTTAAGAATAATCTGTTGAGGTTCCTTGCTTTTCTTGAAATCTTCACAGGCTTTCCAAAACTCAATGTTTTCCTCACTGAATTCAGTTTTAAGAAATCTGGTAAAAGCCTCCAGTCCATCTACCATGAAAATAAATAATACAATTGTAAAATATTAATGTGATTTTCCCAGGAAAATGTACTACTTGATATTACAGGATTACTGAAAATAGTTACAGAGAAACTATGCCTCCCATCTAATGCAGGAGAGCAGCCCATATTTTGCACTATATACACGACCAACTTCATATGGTTTTTGCAACTGTGAAGGCTAAGTATTATTCTGTTGAAATAAGGTCACTATCACATTTCGACCTAAGAGTAAGAGGACCCCGACTGTGGGCCTTCTTTTATGTCTCTTTTATCCATGCTCTTTATAGACTGTGAGGGGATAGTGTATACAGCCAGGAAGCCATTCCCACTGTAATTTATCCAACCTACTTCTAAACCATGCTTCTGGTGCTCTGGATCCTGGTGGTCTCTGTCCAAAAGCTTCATGTTTCTGGGGTTCACACAGACCTCTTTCCCAAATCTATTCCCCAGAAGTGCACTGACTCACTGCTGTGCATATCTGTAGGCTCCAGTGTAGATGGGGCTTTAATTTTCAGGCTGGAGTGTCTACTCAAATGTGCGAGGAGGCCTCTCAGTGTGGAAACAAACCATAGATGGAAAGAGAAAGAAGGGTGTCCAGGTTCATAGTGGGCAACCTAGTGAAGATTTTAAATTCAAACGCAATCTTCCGAGTAGTTTTCAAATATATTTGTCAAAGTACAATGATGGAATATATATTTTACAGCAGTTGTTAGCTTGATCTATAATTCCTGAGCATTTAGATATTTAGCATGTGGCTTTTTTTCTTCTTTCTTTCTTTCTTTCTTTCTTTCTTTCTTTTTTTTTTGGTTTCTATCCTGAGCCTCATTAAATGTTGAGAGCAGGTATGGAGTCTTGAGGAAGATTACTGGGGCTCAAATTGTTCATTTAGTTATTATGTGGCCCTGAGTGAATTGTTTTTCCATCCTGTGCCTCAGTTTCTCAATACCTAAACTTAAAATAATAATGAATATCTATGTGGCAGGACTGTTTAGAATATTAAATGTGTTAAAATATGCAAAGAGTTTAGAAGAGTGACCAGTGAATCATAAGAAGTCCATAAGGATTTTGGTGGTGGTGGTTCTGAAGGTCATGATGGTGATGATAATCTTCATGATTTTCAGTTATTTAAGGCTCTTCTATACAAAATTTACATGGCTAACAAACTGGCAGAATTTGGACAATCCTAAGATGATCTGATTTCAATACTAATGCTCTACCAACTACTTTTGACATTCTAACTTTTTGGCTTATAGGAATTTTAAAAATAAAAATTCTTCATTTTGATAACATTATAGATTCACATGCACTTCTAGGAAATTAAATAGAGAGATTCCATGTACCTTTTTTTCCACTTTCAACCAATTAACAATTTGTGAAACCATAGTAAAATATCATAACTTGGAAATGACATTAGTTGATAAATCATGTTTTAGAATAATAAAACTCATGTTGTCCTTTTATAACTACACTCAGATCTCTCCCATACTCAACTCCTCCTTCAACCACTCATTTTCCCTTCATTGGTATAATTTTGTCAAGTCAAAAATGTTATATAAATGAAATCACTTAGTATATTTTGTTTGGGGTGACTTTTCACTCACTATAATTCTCTAGAGATTCCTCCATGTGAAGCATGAATCAATAATTTGTTTCTTTTTGTTGCTGTATTCTATGTCATGATAATGATATGGATATAATGCCATCTGCTTAACCGCACAAAGACATTGAAATACATATGGGTTATTTCTAGCCTTTTATTATTTTATTATTATTATTTATTATTTTGAGGTCATTACAAATACAACTGCTATAATATGTATGTAGAGTTTTTTTTAAAAAAAATATAAATGCAAGTCTTCATTTCTCTGGGTGAAGTCTCAAGAGGTGAAATTGCTTGGTTCTATGCTAGTTACATTGTAATGCATTGAGAGAAGAGTAGTATGCTTCTAACAAATCTTTCAAATAAATTTCCTCAGAGAAAATCACCCTTTAGTTGGATTTAAATAACTTCCAACAATCTTTTCTTTAAATTCTGTCTCATTCTTTCGTTACGGACTATTTTTCTTTCTGCTGTCAGTGTTAAGTTCTCACACAGGAAATCTCATTAGTCCCATCTACTTTATGCATTGTGTTGGCACCTTCAGACAAAATGATGCATAAGAAACAATTTGAGAAAACAAGAAAAGTTTTCTGAGCTAAACATTGCTAACATTAAAAGACCTTAATTCCATTAAAAGTAATCATTCTAAGAAAAATCTTCCCTTCACTTCAAATGTTCTTCTAGCTGCCGGCGTATCTCTTCTTCTTACAAATGTAAAGTTTTAAGTTTTCTACACTTGACCTCTTAATCCCCTCTGCTTTATTCTCCCAAACACTAACTATGGTTTTATTCAACATTTTACTTAAGTTATTTTTCCCAGATTGACTAAATATTATATTTAGAGACCTTTTTTATCAGTCCATATGTTACTTTGTCTCTTCACAATAGCCAGCATGGTAGAGACTTGCCTGTAATGCGCTTTGATGACATCTAAACTCTCAAGTTTCCTTTTACATCTCATGACTATTGCATCTCCAGTTCTTCTAAGCTTATCCTTCGTCATCCTTCCCTTAAATTCCATGTCCTGGAAAATCACTTCAACACTCAAATACAGTCAATATGCTGATGATTCTAAGGACTCATCTCTACCCTCTTTCCTACAAGTTCACATCAACCAACATGTGGGAAACATCTCCATTGAACTTCCCATCAAAATAGTCATGTTCCAGCTGCATTTATCATCTTCATCTACGATCTTCCCTACATAAGTTTCCTATTATGTCTCCTCAGGGACTTAAACAAGCACCTTGGCATTTATCTTCAGGAATTCCCAATTTTCCTCTTACCTACCACACAGCTGATAATCAAATATTGTCAATTTTACTTCTTTCATAAATGCTGCATCTGTATTTTTATTGTTATGCAATCTGTATTTTCTTCAGAATTATCTCTTGTAGATTATTGTAAGAACCTTCTAATTGGTGACTGTGACTTTAGGTTTGCCTTGCTTCTCTCTCTATCCTCCTGGTTTATTATCTTTAGTCACTAATATCTTTCTGTAGTACATATTTCATTATGAATATTTACTAGTTAAATTTACCAATAATGACTCACTATCTTTTTCTCACTATAAGCTCTAATCACAGAGAAATACACATAGTTGCATACATATGCCATAATCTTGCATCTCTTAGTTTTAGCTACTATTGGCTATACTTTTCCCTTTCTAATCTCATCAAAGTAATCTAATTTGTGTCACCTATGTCCGTTGGAGGTTTAAATTAAAGGTCTCTTATCTACAAAGATTTTGCCAGCCTCTCATGAATAAGTTAGGTGTCCTCTATATGTAGCTTCCTAGTATGTTTAGTAACATTTAAAGTATCCTATTACAGTTGGCTCTTAACTTTTGTGTCCTGTGTTACACTGTGAAAGTCATGAGATAAAGACCATTGTCCAATTTGCCAGCAGGAAGAAAGCATTCAAAATTATTTTATAAAATAAATAATTGAATGAATACAGCAAATTTAATTTTATTAAAAACATAAATTAATTTTAGAAAATGCTTTGTGTTTTAAGTGAAACGTCAGAGCTATCTGTAGAGTACTAGCTTAAAAAAACCTGAAAAAGCGAGCAAACATAAAATATCACAAAAACTTAAAAAATCTTATCCTATTTTAAACATCAACAAGTATATGTAATAAAAATTCTACCAGTTCTTTTAATAAGTAGATCCTTATCTTAGCCAGATGCTATTAAACATTTAATTAAAGTTCTAATTTCATCCTTGGCAATCAATTTTTTTTAATTAGGATTTGGCTTCTTTGGGCATATGAAAAAGTAGAGAAATGGCTACCGGTGACAGTTTTATTTCTGAATCTATACTATGAGGTTGGAGTTCAGGTTTATGAGTTTCGCCAATGTGAACCTTCCACTGAGATTTGAGTCCTACTTGGCAGGCTAACGAAAAGACAACATAAATTTTGAGAACTTCCTGGCTGAAGTTTGTGGTGGATGCCAGTTTATACGACTTCAGACCAGCTGACAAACTCTTCCAAAGACACATTGCTCCTTCTTGGATATCACTATGAGTTATTCAAGCATATTCTTAATTCTATAATATATTCCTAACTTTGATGAACTGTCTTATTAACTTATGATCTATTATCAACATTTTGTTCATTGATAAGAAAACATCAACAAAAAATGATCACAAATTATCCAAAATGTTAGAAATAATGAAAACATTAGAAGATCTGTTAAAAATATTTTGAAAAACACAAAATTTAAAAAATACAGAGTGAACAGATGCAAAAACTCAGCAAAGAAATTGAAATTATAAAAAAAAATCACATTGAAATTCTAGAACTTCAATTGCATTCTAGAAATGCAAAATATTTAAAACTAAAAAAATTCATTGGTGAGCATGACAACAGATGAAAGACTGAAGAAGGGATACATATGCTAGGAGATAATCAGATAAAAATTATTTAGTCTAAAGTAGGAAGATCAATAAGAAAATGGTGGACAAATAGAAAATAAATAGTAAGATGTAAGATTCAATAACATCTGTCTCAACACTGACATAGCTTATAATGGACCGAACTCTCAACTTAAAAATCAGAGGTTATCAGACTGGTTTAAAAATTAACATTAGACTCTACATTGGCAACAAGAGACATGTTAAATACAAAATATCGAAAGACTAAGAAAAAGACTGAAAATGATCCACAATGAAAAGGTTAAAAATAAGAATCCCGGCTAGGCCTGGTGGCCCATGCCTGTAATCCTGGCACTCTGGAAGGCTGAGGCAGGACGATCACTGGAGCTCAGGAGTTAGAGATCAGCCTGAGCAAGACCAAGACTCTGTCTCGACTAAAAGTAGAAAAAAATAGCCACAAGTGGTAGCCGGCGCCTGTAGTTCCAACTACTTGTGAGGCTGAGGCAAGAG